CCTGGCAACCCCTCGCCCGCTGATCCACCCCCTCTCCCACCTGCCCCCCAAGCGGCCCCTGCTCCCCGCGCTTCCTACCCCTCGCCGCCCCGGGCCGTCCTCCTTGACCTTCCCACATCCCCTTTCTTACTGCTCCGAGGCCCCAGGGGAAACATTCGAGGGGACCGGGCGAGACGTGTCTACGGGACTTGGGAGAAGGGGTGGACGGCTGGGGACCACATCACACCCCGGCCCCTTGCGGGTTCACAGTGAGCCGGGCGCACGGAAAAAGGGGGTGACATCTCGCGGGGAGCGCCCCCACGCCTCTAGCTGGGTTGGGAGAGGAGGGTCCGGGTGGGGAGCGAAATTGCCCCAGAGCCCAGGTCATTGTGAGCTTCTCTCCCCGCCCCCACTTCTGTCCTTGCAGTCAGCGTCACCGTGGGGGGCAAGCAGTACCTCCTAGGACTCTATGACACGGCCGGACAGGTGAGTGTCTTGGCCTCTGGCCGACGCCCCCATCCTGTTCCCCAGTTCTTTGTGGCTGCGAAGGGCCTTTGGAAACCGAGGTGTCTAGGTGGGAGGGTGTGTCTGCGAGGGGCTCCCCCTGGATTAGGTCTTTATTTCTTGTATCAAGTCAGCAAATTAGGAAAACAAACAAAACCAACAGACCCAGATCAGCCCACCCATGTGAGCCCCTGGGCTGTGAAAGTTTTTGCCTGTGTGGGTCGTTCTGTGTGGCGCCTGGTGTGTGGGTCCCAACTCCTGTTGCAAAGTGGCAGCAGCCAATCATGAAGCGCCCTTATTTTTAGTTGCAGATGACCAGGTCTCCCCCCCACAGCCTCTGTCTGGTCCCTCATTGGTGAGTGGTCTGCCTGCCCAAGGAGCCTGATTGGTGGGAAATGGCATCATCTAATATGATGGGAAGGCATTTGGTCCTGGTTATGTTTATTACAACATCATTGCACTCTGGGACTCCAGTCCCTGAAAACGTAATTTGTGGTGTTACCGAAGGACCACAGGGAAAAAAGAAAAGAAACAACAGCCATCTAGCCACTCCCTGGGGCGGGGACGAAGGGATAGGAGTTCAGTGTGAGTCTTGGAGGAGGAGGGGTTCCCCCCGGCCCTACTTCAGAAGGGCCAGGTGACTTTGTCTGGGTTTTCTTTGGGAGAGATTAATTGTGCAGAAAGAAGATGCACACTTTGCCCTGCAGCCTCTGGCCAGTGTTTGCAAATCAGAGGTGGCCAGGTTGTGCTTCTAAAGGACTAAGGTCTTCTCTCTGTCTCCCTGTCCCAGCTTCAGCCTCTTCTCAAACCCACGTTTGCTCTGGGGCTAAGCTGATTATGTGTGATGAATTTTGTAGAATCCAGCACTATCATTAGAGTTGAAGACTCTGGCAGAAGTTTCCATATGTCATACAGACTTACGTCCTTGAGAACATAGGAGCAGCTGAAAGTCTTAGAGAATGTCTTTGGGGGAAGTCCAGTAGTAGAATTTCCTTATCAGCAAAATGGGGTTAAAAAAATAAGATGATCCCCTTGTGCAGCTATTGTATGGCAAATGTTTAGCATTGAACCTGGCACACACTGTGTGCTCAATAGTGCTGTTCTTTGAAGCTTGTCTAGATTGGGATTTCAGAACTGTGATTAGAGTTTGGGTTAGATTCTGAAACATGCCTTGTTGAGGGGAGTGCCTTGATGCGACCTCTCATTTCTAAACTGTTAGAGGAAGGTCTGAAGATAGAGAACTACTGGCAGTTCAAGGTGCCTGAGGCCACCCCCTTTCACCAAAATGGCCCAGGTCAGTACAGCCAGTTCTCAGCTCTCCCAGGCCCCCTTTGGTTGCCTGCCCTGTAGTCATTATTCCTTCTACCTTCATTGAAGGATGTGGAGGGCAAGGGGCAGAGCTTGCTCAATCAACTAAGACTGACTTTTAAGTCGTGTTATTGATAAACAAGAAGTTGACCTTATTGGTTGAAAAGAGGAAGGTTTTTAAAAAATCGCCTCTAATTTGAACTTCTCACTACTTTCCTTTCTCTTATCTCCTTTACTTGTGACCATGATAATTTTTGACCACACTCCCTGTTCAACAGGATGTGTGTAGTCAGAGCTGTTCTAAGCACATTTAAACCCTACTAGTATTTCCTGAGTTTTTTCCTACATAACGGGCTAGGGGCAGCCACATGCAAATATTACTTTATTTAGTCTATACAACAACCCCATGAGATATGTGGTATTCCATTTTTGCGGTGAGGAGACAGGCTCAGAGAAGCTAGGTTGCTTGCCTGAGGTCACACAGCTACTGAGGGGTGTTGCTAGGATTGGGAAGGGGTCTGAATCTGCTCCAATTTGAAGTAGTTATACACACAGGACACCATGGGAATGCTGAGATGCCACAGGGTTGATTGGGTTGTTTGCGCATCCATAGATGTGGTACCTATAATCTTCACAGCCATTCTCTGAGTGGGTGATGGATGGCACCTCTACAGAGGAGAAAACTTAGATCCAGAGTCACTTGAAGTTGACCCCACTTACAAAACCAGGGCTTTCCATATATTGCCATAATTACTCTTTCCAGTGGAGGATCATAAGATATAGACCAAACAGGATGAACATATTAGTAAGGCTCAAATACTACTGTTTTCACCCAGTGGTGGGACACCTACTCTGTTGGCCAAGATGTATGTTGGGCCCCATTGGTGTTTCTCCCAGTGTCTAGACTTTTGTTTTTGCGTCAAAGCTAGTAATATTTCATCTCCCAGCATTTGAGGGTTTATTACTAAGAAGCAACTTAGCAATGATGAGACCACATGGTAAGTGCCTGCTGCGTACCTGGTACTATGTCCAGGTACTTTTACACCTGAGGAGTTCAAAGGAATGAATTTAAAATGGGGATCTACCACGGCTGATGTCAGCATAGGGAGAAATGTCTGTCTCAGGTCTCTGTTCATGTGTTAGGTAGGAGGTTTCTACGTTGTACTTGGTCATTAAGACCTCGGGCTTCTAGGGATGCATATCAGATTCATCTTACAATAATAATAATAAATAAACATGTAAATAAAAAATAACATCAAGGATTTGTATATATATGTATCCATATACATACACACACACACACACACACACACACACACACACAAATCCTTAAGCCTAGTGGGCAGCAGAAAAAGGTCCATGGGCTTTGGAACAAAACAGGCTTGGGCTCAGATCTCCACCTTAGCTAGTCATGTGATTCTAGCTAAATTATTTACTTTTGTGATCTAGTAAAAACGTGGATAATTAGAATCTGCATTGCAAGGTTATAGGCTGGCTTTAACTCTAACATATTTAAAAGCAACTGATACTTTGTGCATAGTGGGTGAGTGACAAATAGTACAGGAAATTATTGTATTCTACTATGGCAGTTTTGTGGGGTAAATGTTCACAGAGTGGTAGAGAACAGTGTATTGTGCCTGGAGTTGATAGAAATTCCACTAGAATGCCAGATCCTAGAACCTTTTCAACAGAGGTGTGGAACAGCTTTGCACGTTATCACTCCTATAGTCCCCATTATGGGATCCATGGTTCCAAGCCCAGTGCTCCCTGCCATAGATGCCCTGTTGTATCAGATGGTTTTCTGTCTTAAGCGGAGCCCGTATCCCCGTTGATGGAAGAGAAATAGCTTAGAGTTCTGTGCAGAATTTGACAAACAAGTAGGGTATGTAGCCTTCAGCTGGTTCTACTTTCAGAGAGTTAAGATGGAATGAGGCAGCTCATGACACTACAGGTCAGTTACCTTCTCTCTAAAATGTTCACTCATGCATGTGGGCACTCATTGTATTTGAATAACAGCAACAGTGCCTCCCTCAGTTTGGAACCTCTAGTCCACTTGCTCACTCATGGTCCCTGCCTTAACCCCAGTCAAGTTCAAATCAAGCATCATTTGCCCGATTGACATATTAGGGAATCTACCAGTCAAAGAGTGATTGTTGTAGATGACCTTTGGCCTTCTAGAGCAGGCTGCTTTCCACTTGACCTCTGCTGCTATTAGCAGACAGAGAGAGAGAATGGGAGAGAGAGTGTATTGGACTTCAGTCCCCATCATGTGCTCTGCCTGGGGACATCCCAGCACACTCAGAGCATCACTGCCAAAGGGAAGGTTTCCCTTCTGTTGGCCAAGCCCATGGGTGGTGTAGGAGCAGCTGTGACATTTTGACTGCCAAGCATTTTGGAGTGGAAGTTGACCGAGGCATCTTCCTTCTCACTGGGGGCCTTGTGTGTGTGTTGGGGGTGAGGGGTTGGCTTCCTGCCTGGACCTCTGTGGAGCTTCTCCTTTCTTGCCCAGCCTTCAGGACTTCAGTGTAGGCTCTGTAGCAACCCCAGTGTCTGCTCAGGGAGGGACTGGAGAGATGGGATTTTCCCTCCTGCCACTGCACTGTTTGGAGCGATGGGAAGTGGAAGGAACTCTCGCTCTCTGTCCAGACAGGCCAGTAGGGAGCTGCCTGGCAAGCTGCTCTCTAGCTGTGGGCTCCAGGCTGATCTCTTAATCCTTGGCAGGAAGTCAGAACTTGATACTCTGGAGAGGGAAGGACTGAAGCCCAGTTTATTCAGGTCCGAGAATATCCACACCCAGGAGGATGTGTGTTGAGGGTGAGCTTGGGATCCCTAGAGTTCCAGATTTAGCCGCTGTCTCAGTGTGTGGAAGTCCATTTGTGTGCTTTGGGATGTATTGTTTCTATGTCTGTTAACTTCAACACACAAGTTCAGGGATGTGTCCATGACAGCTATAAATATCTTTCACTCTGTGTCCCCTGGTGTTGCTTTTTCAATGACAAGTGAGATTTGTTTTCACTTGACATAACCCAGCAGCTGTGACTGCCCTGCATGCCCTCTGGGTGCCCACAAGGCACTTCCCCTACAGAAGGGAATCTCCACCGGAGGCAGGCTTGGCATGCCCCACCTTCTGCATTTCAGCAGAAGGGCCTGGCATGATGAGAAAGAGGAAGGAGAAACGGCCATGGGATCACCACTCACCAGGCTCCTCCTACCTCCAGGCAGGGCATCCTCACAACACCCTTCAAGGTAGACTTCTGCCAGGTGAGGAAACTGGGAACAAGTGGGTTTATGGGAAGCAGACAGAGATGTGATTAGGAAAAAGGTTTTCCTACTTTGGAGAAGGCCTGCGGGGAACGTGAGTAGGGTTTAGGAAATGCCACTCACAACACCAGACTCTGGGTCCTTGTAGCCCCGTGTTCCATCCTTGCTCAGCCCGGTGAGCAGAGCCTGGGTGGAACCCCAGGGTTCCTTCCAGGCATCAGCTGCAACAGGTGAGATGCTGGCACTGAGCATCCTGGTTTCCCTTAGTAACCTACTGTAGATTTGTCATCTGTGCATTTTGCTAACCTTTTTAGAAGCTATTTATATCTCCAACCCGCACCGTATCACATGGGAGTGCTGGCTTCCTCCTCTGCATTGGGAAGGTGGATAGCCTTTGTTGACTCCAAAGCCTT